CGCTCCTCATTTCGATAGCTACCCTCTCGCATTAACATTTATAAAAATTCCCCTGTAACCTAACTGGCCCGACTACTCACCAAAAAGGAACAGGTCTCAAATGAACTACGTCAAATGCTTTGTACATGAAACGTATATCATCGATATTATTTACCTTTCGTTTTTATTATTTTTATTTTATTCTGCGTGACGAACAGCGTACATTTTTAACTGAAATGTAGGTGTATACAATAATAATAAGTGTATATTTCACGGAGACCCGTGAAGCATGCATAGGCATGATCAAATGTACAACATAATCATCCATATATGGGAAGCCGAAGAAGAAAACTTTGAAGGTCGCATTGAGCATATTTACAAATGGAACACAAAGTGAACAAGGTGTCAGAGAAAATTGTTTGAGATGACGGAATGCTCCCAATGAGCAAGTTGGTGGAAGTAGGACAAAAATCCAGAATCGATATACCGGATGAATGATGGAATAATTGGAAATACGACAATCAATGAGTAAAATAACAAGAGGCGGCCTGCAGATCGTTAGACGGGAATGGAAAAAAGTGGGGGTCACTCAGGGTGTGCATGATAGGAAATAAGCAGAACATTGGAAGATTGATTGTATTTTGCTGGGGTTTTCAGTTATACTCCGAATAAATTCACCACTATATCGTGTGCCAATCTAACGGAAGACGCCTTTTTTTCTTACAGCAGCAGATCTCTGGAAAGGAAGATGGAAACGCAAAACAGTCTAGGTTTTAACCTAGCTGATGAGAGATTGGGAGGGAAGGAAGCATGCAAGTTATCGCGCAATTTTATCTTAGAAGTTCCGGACATTCAAGTAGACGACTACTAGCTGGTATCTATAAAAGAGTCACCAAATATGCTCACAAAGGTTACAAATAAGATACAACACAATTTCATTATGAATCGCCATACCTGGACTTCGACTGACCAAATTTGCAGCACGTAGGAAAACGGTTGAACGACAGTTGAAATTTATTTTCTTTAATAGGCAAGCATCAATACATATTTGCGACTTACCAAACCATCGTAGGTCCCAGTTACAGAACGACAAACAATAAAAAGCAAATCACGGAGCGAGACCACAAAGATACCAAGCGGGTAAAGAGGAAGACGGTTAAAACAACTGCTAAAGCGTTGAGTTCACGAAAGCAAAAGAAGAGATAAGAAAATGAGGATAACGGAATTAGAAAAGTATTGTGTACAAAAGCTTCCGAAACCATCACACCGCCCGCCAATCACGCAGCGATTTCTTGTCGTTTTCTGCAAAAATTTGAAACGAAATCTTTCCAATTGACATTTTGTATAGCTGCTTTCGAGTGCCGCCTTACGTCAATTTTTTTAGACGCTGATGGGATAGTGACTATTACTTCACTGTTCAAACACTCGTCTCATGTAGGTGACACGGTTAGACCATCAATCCTGACGATGGTACCGAAGACCGGAGGAGAATAGGTCGGTTGGAGTAAGAATTCACCAAAGTTGATTGAATTCCTCAACTGGCCAGGGTGTAGAGGAATCGGGGTATTACCGCTCTTCAGACGTGGATGATTTCCATCCGAAAAATTATCGTGATATGAAATCAATCAAGCATATCTATCGATGGAGCTGGGTTTTGGCGAACACGGGGTTTTCTTTTACTTCGATTGTTTTGAAGAAAGCAAACCACGCCGCTGGTGACCACAACTTACAGTTGTTGGTAGTTATCCGTGGCGATTACAACTCTGATGTTGATCGTAGATAAATATCTTTTGAATGTTGATGAGGAACGATGTTTGTCATCTCTTTTCGAGACTGATACTGCAATTAACCTGGTCATGCGTTCATTTTTACCGGGATTGATGGCGACCTAATTTCTAAGGATAGAGCTTGTACACTGGTGGCAAATAAGTTAGTCAAGAGTAAGCCCTCAACCTGTAAAGATATTCTGTCGCCCGGCGGTGTAGCTCCAAATCAGTGACGGTAAGAGTATTAGCAAATTTAAGATGAAGCATAAAACAAAATACAAGAATAAATGATTAATGACCGTGATTCGTAAGCAAACGTCTGACTAACGAATGAACAGGAGATTTCTCCAGGGTTCGCGTTTAGTTATTGCTTCGTGGTAATTCAATCTGAACGACCAGAAAACTTTTCGACTCCGTGACGCTTGATATGCGGATTTCGCAAGCCGGTATTGTGTATGACATTAGAAATATTTGTGAGCCCGTCAATCAAGTTGGAATAGCTTGAGGGCTAACAAACCCACACGTTCATGAGCCGAGTATGGAGCCCAAGTGCTCCGTGTCAATTAGGTTTCCAATGAACCCAAATGTTCATTAGCCGAATATGTTTAATTGTGGCCCGTATTGCTCCGAGTTATTTATTTCCAAATTAATAACTGCTGATTGCGTTTGTGAATTCGCTGTTTCTTGATAAAGTGTCAAAGCATCATAATTTTGCTCAAAATGTTTCAGTTAACTTGAATTGTCGAACATTCTGGATTGTACGTATTTGTCAATTGTCAAGTGTGAGGTTACAGAAAGTGTTGCTTTTGGAGTACCGAAATGTTGGAGAGATAGAAGTAAAATGAGAGGAACATATTGGTAATGAATTGAAGAGTAAAAAAATTAGAAACCGAAGGTTCCATTATAAGCGCCATTGAGAAGGAAAAGAGGAGAATTGCAAAATACAATAAACAAGCAAACGTATCGTTTCCTGGCGTCAACCACTTACGTGCTCATCACCAGGAACATGTCCAGGACCCCTCCTGAAAGGCAGGTATTTCTGACGTCTCCTGAACGATCCACTAGTGGTTTTACCTCCACTTCTCTCACGATTCCATCTTTGCTTTTTCTGGTTTGTTGTACAAGACCCAAAGGCCACTCATTCCTTGTTTTGCTTTCCCTTACCACTATCACTCAATCTCCCTGTTAAAAGTCCCTATGTCTTATATACCACTTGGATCTCATTTGAAGTAATTGCAAGCATTCCCTCGTTCGTTGCTTTCAGATGCAATTTGCGATATCCTGCACTTCTTGCCATCTACGAGTATAACGGTCTAGCGTGGTTTTCACCTCAGAACTGGAATTGCACCGCCAACATCTGTGGTGTGAGTGCCTTGCAAGCTTGCGGATCGAGTAATTGCGGAACGAGCGATCTATTATTCATTATCTGTTCGGCCTCTACCAGGGCCGTCAGTAACACTTCGTCCGTCCCCTGTTCAGCACTGAGGAGTGCCATCAGTATTCTCTTTATTATCTTAATCAGCCCTTCCCAAACTCCGTCTCTATGTCTGGTGTTAGGAGGGTTGAATTGCCACTGTACCGCGTTCTTAAGGATATGATAATGTATTTTATCCCGAGACCAAGATAGCAAACAAGCCCGTAGTTCATTGGTCGCTCCGACAAAATTCAATCCACCATCACTGAGTATGTGTTCTGGCCTGCCTCTGCGAGCTGTGAACCGGTCCAGGGCCATGATGAATGATCCCGTTGAGTATGAGTGCGCTACCTCTAGATGAACTACTCTCATCGTCATGCAGGTGAAGATACATCCGTATCTTTTCTCCACGGACCCGCACCGCTTAATATAAAATGGTCCGAAATAGTCTGGACCAACCTATTGGAATGGTGGCAATTGGTTACTCATTCTATTTATAGGCAATGAAGCCATTACCTGACACCCTGGCTTACCCATTTGCCTACGACAGTGAATGCATTTGCTCAGAACTCTCTTTACTGCTGCACCACGTTTGGTTATCCGGAACCGCCTTCTTATTTCAGATAACACGTGCTCGGGCCCTGAATAACCTTCCTTCTCATGAAAGTGACTTATCAGAAGTGCGGTTACATGGGGTCTTGAGGGCAGGATAACTGGGTGTCTTGCGTCATGTGGCAAGTACGCATATTGCAGTCTACCACCAACTCAAAGCATTCCACTTACTAAAATTGGACACAATTTACGTGAAGGGGGGCTACTCCGGCGCATGTGCCTCTCAGGGTCCATTAGCGAAACCTGATCGTCTGAGAATGATTCTGCTTGAACTAGACGCACAACATTGTCGCATATAAGCTCAATCTCTTCTGTCGAAAGTTTACTCAATCGCTGTGACAAGGTACCTTTCTTTCCAAACATAACGTTGATTTTGAAAATCGGTTCTCATAGCTCGGGTAAACTGAATTCCATTTCGCCTGTTTGCCGTGCTTGGCAATTTGTTTGCAAACGTTTCATCACCAGCCGACGTGACATCATGAGGGCTTGTGAAGTGGCAGTGTCCTGCCTGTACCACTTCGTTTATATTTTCGTATCTTTCTTCTTTCTTCTTGATTATGTCGGTGCGGCAGTGTGTTTGGATTTTTCCGAACAGGGTTTTAACACAGCATCTTTTGTGGTTGTGTGGATGGTTACTTTTGAAGTTCAGAATTTGATCTATATATGTTGTCTTTCGGTTGTCTCCAGTTTTCTTCATGGCATTCTGATACCTCATCAAAGTGTTCGCTCGCAATGGCTACCCCCGCAACTTTATGAAAAGAATTCTGGCTCAAAGAAAGAAGGAAACAGCAGACGGAGAATCTGGAACAAGAACGACCCTGCCGTACATTGAAGACTTTTCGGAAATGACAGCAAGACTGCTCAGATCGTACAGAATTCAAGTCACCCACATACAAACTGCCTGTGAAGAAAACGTTTGCCAAAACCAAAGGAGAGAACAATGGAGAAGGACAAGAGCAGCCTCATCCACAAAATAAACTGCTAGAACTGTTCAAAACACTATATCGGACAATCTGGGAGAAATGTTTGAACACTGATCCGTTAACATCAATCGGCAGTCAGGAAGCATGATCCATTATCGTTGATTCCCCTCCACGAAGGTCAAAAAGGACAATATCACTTTCAATCAGTGAGAGCTATCAACCCAGCCAGGTCAAAACACACCAGAGAATTTCTCGAGGCCTGGTACTCTTCAATCAACTTAATAAACATGCACGTCGAAATGGATGTATTTCATGTTGAAGTTTTTGAAAATCCTTCCAAACCCTATTGATTTATGGTGACATAACTCTATCTGTGTGTTGCTTCTCTATCAACATTTCTCGATCACAAACACCATACATTATCTGTTAATTCGACGCCCGGCACATTTGAATTTTGAGTGGTCAGAGAACGTGAGCGACTGTTTGGCTCTATCTGGACATCATATTTTGGCTCTCCTGCTTGAGTGCTTTTGGCCGCATATTTGAGGTTTGCTTTATTGTACATTCTATGATGATTTCGCCAATTTGGTACCGTAGAACATTACGAATCAATCGTGTTTTATTTCGGGATTAGTATCGGTTTCGGCTAAGCGTCACTCACGTGCAAATTGGTTGACGTGCAGTACTCAAATTGAAATCAAACGAGAAAACTATTCCAAAATGTTTGCAATATCTTTTCCACCTGTTTCACTTGCCCCAACTCCGTGGTACATGCTAACCAGGCAGCTGTGTCTACTTTCTGAACCCAATCCTTATCAGCACACGGATTCAGCTTCAAAGCTGGATTTGTGGAACAGAAATAATTCCGCTACATATTTATACACTTATTGTGACTCAATAATTTTAACTCGAAATCCCCTTGTGCATCGTTCGTGCATGCACCCGATTTACCTTTCAGAATTTCGTTCTGTCATGTCAATCCCACTGATACACTCAAGTCCATTTTTCTTCTGCATATATATATGTATATATATATATACACTTTCAGGCATTGAACCTCTCTGCATATTCGTTTGCAACATGCTGTTTCTCC